CGTCTTGCCTGACATTGCCTGGTGATGGTACATTCAGACAGTTCTACAGTGGTGGCACATATCAACCACTAAGGGGGCACCCGGTCCAGAGATCTCTGTTTTCAGACATTGGATCTCTTATACTTGGCCCACACACATCACATTCATCTTATTGCATGTCATGTACTGGGTGCTTTCAATCTGGTTTGTGACCCGACCAGATATATCCCACAGAGTGGTCATGAGATGCCCTCATTTTCAGGTATCTTTCCCATCTGTGGGGTTCTACATAAGTGGATTCCTTTGTTACAGACCTCAAAAACAAATTACATCTCTTCTGGTCGCTTGTACCTTATCCCCAGGCTCGAGCAGATGATGGCTTCAGCCAGGATTGATAACACAAGTATCTTTATGTATGACCATCCATCCAATTACTTCATGGGGTGATTTCTCTTATCCACTCCACTCCTTGTCAAGTCCTTCTGATTGCTCCATATTGGCCATCTCTGACTTGGATCCCACAGTTACAGTAACTGCTCTCTGCACTCCTGTCCCTTTTCCACTTTCTCCTTACCTTCTTCATCAACCTCGGTTACATGTCCTACATCCTGCATCTTTACATCTGGCCTTTGTGCAGTCCTTGGTGAGAAGATTCAGTTTCCTACACTGAGTCTCTTTCTTGTTAGCTGGTTCCATCCATCCATCTTCCATGCCGGTGTACCAACACAAGTGGAAGGTATTCCTTAGTTGTTCTACAACAAGGGGTTTCCCACTGACTGGCCTACTGTGGCTTTTGTGGCAGAATTTCTCACCTGGCTCTTTGACCGTGAGTTGTTGGTCTCCTCGCTTTTGAAATATCTTGTGGCCTTATCCCATACCTTTTGTTTTTCCTGATACTGAGGAGTTTTTACTTCTCCTGTCCTTACCATACTCATGCATTCCTTCCAGATACATCGCCACTCGGATTGCGATGTTAATGTGATCCTCCATTCCCTTACATTACCTCCATTTGAACCAGTTTCCTTATGTTCCATGTTTCATCTTTCCCTTAAAACATATTTCCTTATTCTCTGAACCTGTGGGTTTGACGGTCTGATTTGTTTGCCATTGACATTTCACATATCCTTTATCACCCTACCTATCTCCTCCTTTAACTAGATTGTTCCTTTCTCCTGAAGACCTTGACAGCTTGGGAGGGTGATTCCTCCCTTCCATCCACTTTCCATCTTTACCGGTGACTGGATCTAGATAAGCTTCTGTGTCCAGTGAGGGCTTTGCATTGTTATACCAATTGGGTCTGTCTATTAGTTTGATTGGCCTATTTCTCCCTACCTTCTCCCTCCCAGAATTTGTTCCAGGTGTCCTCCCATCATATACGCAACC